TGAGTAGAAATGAATATTCGTGCAACTTTATAATTTTTTTATCCATGTACTTTAAATGTTGAATAATATTATCTGCAGTCGCTATACGTGGCATACATGTGACGATTAATGATTTGTTGCATAAGATAATAAAAAAACTACCACATTAATACATCAAATCACTAACCGCTACATATAGTCACTGCAAATAGCATTACTCTTAAATATTTGATGGAATTTTTTGGATAATACTAGGGGTAAGATTTGTGTACTTGTGTTGAATTATTATCAGCTACCCTATTATCAATAATTTCATTAGGAGATTTGCTTTTAGGTTTGTACGTACAAAAAGGGATTTGGCCTTAGAAGTTGCGCCTTTTGATTAGATTAAAATGTGTCACTTTCTTGCCTTTAGACACTCAATATTTACCAATGGCACACAAATATTGAATATATATGGAAGAATTTTCGAAAACTTACTAACAGTACAATTCAATTAGATTCAACGAGAAACTAATTATCATGAGCATTCAATTAAATCAAATACCGTTCCATTGAGATCAATGATTTTCGAACTTGTGTTCTTTTCACAAGGACCCTTCCATTTGAGCTGGTAGTGTACATATGGATATTGATATTCTTTAGGCTTGATTTGTTGGAATTGGAAAGGACATTGTAAAAATGAAAGAAATTTTTACTGTCACATTTTATAATTTTATAGAAATAACAAAATTTATGGTGGAATAAAGAAAACTCCAAACCCACCGCTGTGAAAACTGGCCACCCAGTCTGTATTTGTGATGTCCCTTTCTAATATTAAAACACCTTAATGCAACATCTTCCCATGTAGGGCCTGAAAGCTATGTAGATCTTTCCATTAACTCCACCATTCCCTTTAGTTTCTTCTTCCTTCTCCCCTCCCTTTTATTTAGAGAGAGAGAGTGGCTTATAAGTATGTAAGTCTTCAACCGCAGTTCACACCATCCCCACCCCACAACTTGTACACCACAATTCTTGCAAGTACGTACAGTAACTTAAGACTTGTCATGACTATATATTGATAGGGTTAGATAAGACTGTGAGGTGTAATTAGTTTATGGCAATTGCAGCAGCCATGAATAATCAAGATGAGAGCAAGGATGAACACGAACACGACATGGTCATGCCTGGTTTTCGTTTCCATCCCACTGAGGAAGAACTAGTTGAATTCTACCTTCGCCGTAAGGTAGAGGGCAAGCATTTCAATGTCGAACTCATCACTTTTCTAGACCTTTACCGCTATGACCCCTGGGAACTTCCTGGTATATACTCTTATGAATTTATCTGTATATTTAATCACTGCCCTTTCTTTTTATACTAAAATTGATGTTAAATATTTGTACTGTGAATCTCAGCCTTGGCAGCTATAGGGGAGAAGGAATGGTACTTTTATGTTCCAAGAGATAGAAAGTATCGTAATGGAGATCGGCCTAATCGTGTCACAACCTCTGGTTATTGGAAAGCTACCGGGGCTGATAGGATGATCCGAAGTGAAAATCTTCGGTCTATTGGACTGAAGAAAACCCTTGTTTTCTACTCCGGGAAAGCTCCAAAAGGAATCCGAACTAGTTGGATCATGAATGAATACCGTCTGCCACACCATGAAACTGAACGCCTGCAAAAGGTAGGGAATTCGTTCACCTCGATTAGTTTTAGGATAATGGAGATATTTCATAGTTAACTCAAATAATGAATCTAGCAAACACGTGCAACAATATGCCCAAAGACGAGAGCTATTTACTGTTCCTTCTCGAGCATCTCTTCTTATAATCCATCTAGACAGAGAGAGCAAGTGACCGGTGGAAAGAATACTTAGCCGCCTTCTGAATCATTCAAAGTAAACCAAAATTATCGGCTTCAAATAGCCCATCTTCTGAAACCATTCAGAATTTTTTATCGTTCAATCATTGAACGGTGCAAAATCAGTGTTGTTTTTTTATATTTTGAGCCTAGTTTAAGAAAAGAAACTAGCTTTCATACCAAGAATCTTCTTTATCCTTGCCAGGTGAAAATTGTGTAAATTGAGGTCTTGATCCAATTATGTACACCAACGGATGTTAGATCCCAACAGGAGGAATCCGCACTTGGGAAAAATAAGGGAAAGGAAGTTAATTTGGTGCATGAAGAACAACAGCTGACAAAGTTCTGTATTTATATGCAAAGTTCTTAAATACTCACAGCAGAAACTTGAAGGAACATGCATGAATTCTTTAAATTAAGTGTTCATTGAGATCCTTTGCTATAAATATTCTGAAAGACCTCATAATTGCAATTCAATGAGTCCATAGATGCTCAATGTCGAAGATCATTCAAAATCTTCGCCTTCTTCCAAATTTATTTCAGTTTGTTTGTTGGTTAAGTTCTTTCACTTTGTTTTTCAGGCAGAGATTTCTCTTTGCCGGGTCTACAAAAGAGCTGGAGTCGAAGACCATCCTTCTCTTCCACGGTCTCTTCCCACACGGGACTCATCGTCTAGAGGAACACAATCATCGACACCCCAAAAACAGCACGAAATGACAAGTCACGCCATGGAAAGGTTCCAAGCTTATGGATTATCGTCCCAACAAACCGATGAAAAGATGAGCGAAGCCAGTGGAAGCAGTAGCACAGCTGATATTGGGACCTCTCTTGATCTTTCAAAGCACAGCTCTTACAATATCAATCCATTAATCCCCATGTCCACTCCAAATTCTATAGAACTAGATGATAGAATGATGCAGTTAAATCAGTTAAAGCAAACTTCTTCTTCTTTAGCCCTAAACTGCAGCACCTTATTTGCCAGTTCTTCATCCCATAATGCAATCGACGATCTCCATAAACTAGTAAATTACTCCCAACAAGCCTCCATCAATCACGAATCTGATCACCAGCAGTATCCTAATCACGTGCCTGATCTTCTATCCCATTTCTCCACGTTGCAGTCGCAACAGCCACAGTCTCTATCTCTTAACATGATTCCGGGCTCGTTTCAAGCTGCCTTGCCAGACAGAGTATGGGATTGGAATGCTATTCAAGAAGCCAACAAAGACTACAACCTATTCAAGTAATCAACGAATTGCATATATATAGGCACCTTTATATTGCATGTCCACTACTGCTAGTTTATAGTCTATCTCTATACTATTCTGATGCTATAAAAATTGCAGAACCTATGTTAAGCAATAATAATTTGTTGTTATGGTTTAGGATTTAATTGTATTATGATTTAAGGCGTTGTAATAACAATTAAAGCCATAATGTTGTTCAAGATAGGATATTTGGGTTTAGGGTTTCTTGCTAATTAATCGAATGCGAATGAATTGTTTGCGTTGTTCTTGATTTTCTGTTTGGTATTTTCTATATTTAGGAGTTCAACGCTGATGGAAAAGAACTTTGTGGTGAAAGTAGATTAAATAATAAGCTAGGGATTGATTGATTTCTAGTGTTTATTTAAATATTCATTGTTGTTCTAGCCTGTCAAATTATGTCTCTCTTATGGAGTTTTCCTAGAAATAAAACTGTTATCCATATGAGAATGATAATCTCATTATTGAATACGATTTGCAGAAGACTGCTCAGAGAATGGAAATTTTGGACCCCATTTCACGAGACAACATTCACAGTTCCTAAATCAAGACATAAAATTTGTTTGATTTGTCATTTGTTATTTGGTAGGTAAATTATAGAAGTAACTAATCCATTGTGCATTCCTTTCTCATACTGTTAACATGTGTAAGGAATGCATAAAAGATTTTTTTTTTCTATGATTACATTTTAAGCAGAAAAAATTTAAAAGATCAACAATCAAAGTGTTCAACCAAGGATACCACAAACCATCTAGTCTAGGGGTGGATATTTTTAAATCTAACCTGCCAAGCAGAAACGAAATCACAATCGTCAATTCTTTTCGGTTCCAAAAATTACATGGAACCAAATGATTCCATTTACAAAGTACCAGAATTTCAATGCATGGTTTAAGTTATTGAAATACCAGATCAAAACCCTATTAGGAACCAAATTTTCATATTTTTTAAGTTTTTATTCTTTTCACCTTTATAACTATATTCACCAATCCCAACCACACTCAGCAACTTCTGATCTTAATTGAGACCATTAGTTTGAAAGATTGCATAAATTGTGTGATTGGGTTCATTAATACAACATTCAACAAAAATATAAGTCTTAATGCCATTGTTTTCTCTACATTTTAGTTTAAAAATATAATCAGCTGAATGAACTAATATTAAAAATTGCTTACTTTTTTGGTTGTTTTGTAATTGCTATGGTAAAACCGAACCCGAACCAGAATCGATGGTTCCAATTTGATTAAAAAATTACATGAAACCAAATAGTTTTATTTACAAAATCCTTGAAATTTAATAGGTGATTCCAATTCTTGAAATACGTGGACTGACTCACCCAGATTCATCTTAAATAGTGTGCTCTTAAGACCACGTTCTATTTTCCAGTAAAATTAAAGTACAGATTTAGCCCTGATCTGGTAAAACCGAACCCGAACCAGAATCGATGGTTCCAATTTGATTAAAAAATTACATGAAACCAAATAGTTTTATTTACAAAATACTTGAAATTTAATAGGTGATTCCAATTCTTGAAATACGTGGACTGACTCACCCAGATTCATCTTAAATAGTGTGCTCTTAAGACCACGTTCTATTTTCCAGTAAAATTAAAGTACAGATTTAGCCCTGATTCGAGATCTTACTTTTAAGAGGACCTTAAGTTGAATGCTGGTATCGAGAATAATTAATCCGCATTACCTTGAATAATTAATAACGTCAAATGGGAAAAACTAAAGCAAGCGAGCAAGAAGAAAAGCACACCCATTTTAATTCCTGGTTTCTGTTAATGTTCAGCTACATTCTTTGTGGGATAGGTCTAGATATAGCATTGTATATGCATGTATGAAACATTTCTAGTTTTCACACTTGTAAGTTTTCTAGCGGCTCTGTCCTAAAAGAGAGAGAGGTCCATTCTTTTACCCAACCAGCAAAATGTCGAGGATATTCCAACCTCGGTAGCTATATTAAACCATAGGAAAGGCCTAAAATATACTTAAGATAGTAAATATTAATTATGTATAAACTATAAACTGACTCACTGTTGAGGCTGCAAAATAGGATTTCATCACGAGAAGAAAATAAATCATCTAGCTGTAATGTTTGCTTGGTCGCCTCCAATGCAAGATTCTTGTGAACCAAAAGCTGTTTAAATTAATTGAATTGGATCCTGCACTTCACTATTTTGATCCATTTTTCAAATGAATGGATAATAAGTTTTCTTGAAATGATTCGGTACATCGTTGTCCATGATTTTGTATAATGTAATTTATAGGAAATATCCCTTCTTAAATTTTCAAATAAATAAATAAATAATTACATTTATCTAGTGAATATTGATTTGATCGATCGTGTTTGATAAGTGTAGTTTCTACACTTATTCAGGTTGTATATAATGATATTTTATTATTTTTTGAACAGATTAGTGCCTAATTGGTTATTTGTTGCTTCTATTAGGAAAAACTAATGTTTGAACATAAAATTGGAAGAAATAGTGAAAATGACTAAAATGAATCAAATCTAAAGCTCGAGGACTAAAGTGAGAATATTCAAAACTTGTGACGGACTTCAAATCGATAATTGGAGATTGCTAGATCAATTGTATACGGTAAATATATATATATATATATATATATAATCAAAGGAACTTTACAAATAAACTTTCAACCTCAAAAGGTATATTCCAAATCTTCAATCAAAGTTTGAAATCCATTTTTGGAATAGTAAACATTCGAATTGGAAAATTCTACTTTTAAAAGAATTATGACCCTTTGAGTAGCTTTTCAATGTACTTTGAATCACTTCAATCGAATATTAGGAGAGAAAAATACGATCAAAATACTGAAAACTATGCAGAGACGCGTGTGCAAAGACAACTTTCCTTATTTGAGTTGGAACTCTTTTGGAAGGCAATTAGGACACAGATCTTAACCTAATTTCATCATATAAAATAGAAGACATGGGCAACCATTGAAGAATCTCTCTCTCAGCTCTCAAATTAGATTTATATTTTAAAATTATTCAAGAACGAGGAACAAATTCATTATAAATTGGAGAGGAGAACAAATCTAGCAAAGAATCAAATCAAGAAACATCAAATACTTGAAGAATCAAATCTTGGTTTTGATAATCAAGAATAAGAATTAAACTGTGATATCTCTTTCTTGTATTTATAAATTATGAGTAATATTTTTCCATTCTTCTTGTTGTTTTATCATTAAAAATATGTTTAGCCAGATTTTCCTTGTATTGAATGGATGATGAATCTTATTGATTGTTAAATTCAATTCATGTTAATTTAGTCATTTCTTCGATTTTTTATTATGTATGCATTCATATTATGTTATTTAATTGCTTAGCTACTAATTGGATAACTTTTTGTCTATTTGTATTGTTGGGAAGTTCATAGTAAGTAGAACACTGTATATTTGACATACGGACAATAGAGATTAAGAATTATATTCATGGCAGGTGCAATCTTGGGAATTAATGCATGTTTTTCATATAAATTTAGATAAGGAATAGGACCGTGTCGTTTTAAATATCGGTTTCATATAACTTGGAAAAAAATATTGAATAAAATGAGATTATTGATTGTCATTTATAGTAGAAAATACTTACCACTTTCATGGGTGGAAAATTGAAAACCAGGAAGATTTGGAAATCAAATACATTCATCTCACATTGATAAAATCATGTTTAATTGGTTCCTTAATTAAAATTAGTAGAAGCAACAAACTCAATCTCTTTTGTGTTACTATACATCGAATTTGGTATAAGTTATTCAACTAAATATTATACCTTATTTCTCGTGAGAACAATAAACTCAAAATTCACTGATTTCTATTACTTGTCAACAATTCTGTATGTTTACAGATTTTGTCTGAGTTCATCATTCTGTGTAAGGTATGATGTGTAACAATTTTATGTTTATATATATATATGCGCGTGTGTGTGCTTAGGCACGTATCCTAAAGGGAAAAGGAGGATGATAAGGTGGATATACAATCAATGAAGAGCCACAGTTGAAGTGGACGTTGGCAAATTGGTATTGGCTCCTAAAACAGAAAAGAAGGGCTTTTCTTATTCGCAAGTAGACCTGACAGGTCAATTTTCAGTTTTCTTCTCTTTTCTTTTTATTTATTTTTTAATTTAATTGAAATTTGCAAACTTTTTGCTGCACTTAAATACGAGTAATCTGTTTGATTAAAGTTATAGGATATCTTTGGAAAATATGTACGCAGACATGAAATCTTTATTTGGTAAAAATCCATTCAAGACAAGACAAGGGTTTTCAGACAATCTTACCTGAATTTGAGTAAAGTTTTTAAAATTATTCTGTACACTAATATATTATTCGAAAGGAGTACACATTTGGGACATGCAATTTTACCTCCGAAAATAACATTAAGGACCTATACTATTTTTATTTTTATTTTTTTTTGGGTACAAAGAAATAAGAAATATATAACATAATTTTTGACAAATCTAAGAAACAACACAAAGCAATATTACATTTTCAAATTGGGGAAATACCATTTGTCCGTTCCCATTCGCCCTATAATTTCTCCCTTTCGGTCTTGTGAATACAGAATCTTGGATTGCCAAGCCATTCAGCTACATCATTGCCTTCACTTCAAGGAGAGGTATTGAATTTACCCTTTTTTTTTTTTTTTTTTTTTT